TGTTTTATTTTTTTCCACTAGGAAAAAAAACAGGAAAGCACAGTCTCACATTTACATACATAGTCCAACATTTATATACAATTCTTAAAATTAATTGCGTTTAGCTTTAATGAAAAACTTGGGATATTGTACTAGTCTTTCCATTTTGCCAGATTTGCTTTGTCAGATTAGTGTTTTGGAATGCTAGAAAAAAATCTAAACATGCCCAAGATAGCATTATTGACTGTCTTCAGAGAAATTCGCATTGGTGTTATTAGTTGCCTTACAATATACAAATAACTCAGACAACATTATTTATTGACTCTTCTAGGAAAAAAAGGACTGAGCTCGGCATCTGATGTACTTAAAGGCTAATGAATACAAACTACGTACCCCGATCGTTTACAGATACATATTTACTGATAAATATTTACAGATACAGTACAAAGAGAAAACTTTAGTACGGAGAGAGTGTGGAGAGAGTAAAAAGGGCGGGGTTAGTCGTGGAACATTCTTTCTCCTTTTTTAGGAAAGAGGAAACCAAAGCTGAGAGGTTGGAATATATCAAGGTAAAAGATAAATAAACCCTGATTCTTCCTGCCTTTGGGGTCAAATGCCTGTTGTTAATTGCCTATGGTTTTGGAGTGCTTTTGCTTAAATTTTCAGGAGAGTTGGTAGACGCACTTATCTACCCTGTGGCTGGAGGGGGCAGTCAGGACCATGAAAGACACACCTGCCTCAGCCTATATCCAGAGAAAACTCCAATTAGAAAAGATACACACACCCCAAAGTTCATAGCAGCACTATTTACAATAGCCAAGACATGCAAGCAACCTAAGTGTTCATCGACAGATGAATGGATAAAGATGATGTGGTATATATATACAAAGGAATATTACTCAGCCATAAGGAATGAAATAATGCCATTTGCAGCAACATGGATGGACCTAGAGATTATCATATTAAGTGAAGTAAGTCAGACAGAGGAAGACAAATATCACATGATATCACTTATAAGTGGAATCTAAAAAAATGATACAAATGAACTTATGTACAAAACAGAAATAGACGCACAGACATAAAAACCAAACTTATGGTTACCAAAGGGGAAAGTGGGGGGTTGGGGGGAGGGATAAATTAGGGGTTTGGGATTAACATATACACACTATTATCTACAAGGACCTACTGTATAGCACAGGGAACTATATTCAATATCTTGTAATAACCTACAATGGAAAAGAATCTGAAAAAGAATATATATATGTATATATATATACATATATATATATAAAACTGAATCACTTTGCTGAACATCTGAAACTAGCACAACATTGTAAATCTAACTATACTTCAATTAAAAAAAAAAAACGACACACCTGGCTGACCATGCCCACTTCCTGAGCAAATGTTTTGATCACTCTCCAAAAGATAATTCCCAGTGATTTTCTGAGAAGGTGATATGGGCTGAATAGCCCTGCTCAAATCTATATGCTATTCTTAATAAGTTTGATTCTTTTTTTTTTTTTTTTTTTTTTTTTTTTGTGGTACGCGGGCCTCTCACTGTTGTGGCCTCTTCTGCTGTGGAGCACAGGCTCCAGATGCGCAGGCTCAGCGGCCATGGCTCACGGGCTTAGCCGCTCTGCGGCACGTGGAATCTTCCTGGACAGGGGCACAAACCCGTGTCCCCTGCATTGGCAGGCGGACTCTCAACCACCGCGCCACCAGGGAATCCCGTAAGTTTGATTCTTATAAGCTTGTCCACAACTCCATTTTCAGGTGAGAATAAAAGAGCTGGGTCTTAAATGTGGAAGGCTCTATGTGACCTGATATGTTTTCTGAGCACAAGAATTAAAAAAAGATAGGTTCTAAAATTTTTTGATTTATTGATGAAACTGATCAATTTTCTCCTAATAGCCAATATTTTAAGCAGGAAATATTTCCATTTCCCCCACTTTCTCAATCATTTGAATTCTGTTAACTTTGAATGATTGGAAGGTACTAAAGACAAAGCATGGAAAGAATCTGCTGCCATCATCCAAATAGTTTGTAAAAGATTATTTGTGGACCATCCAAAAATGAGGCTATATAGGAAAGCAAGGGGGAATAAAGACTAAAATGTGGTAAATTAAATATATTAATCAGAACCCTTCGCTGCATTGACAGAAAACCAAATAAAATTGACTTAGGCAAACAGCAGAATGTATTATCAATACAATACTAGCTATCTCATAGAAACTAAAGATGTGAATTAGGAACAGTCAGAATCTAGGGTTTGAACACAATCAGCACCCTCGGATCCTCTGGGTGTTCCGTCATATGGTCAGAAGGCCACTTCTGGAATAACCAAGATGGTTAGCCGGCTCGATGTAATAACACAGATGTTACCAGAGGACTATATGTAGTGTGTGGGGAGAGTGAAACAGGAAGAGGCCTCTGTTTTAGAAGAAACAAAAAGCAGAAACGTCCACCTTCTTAAAAAAATAGTGAAGAAACAAGACAGCAAGAGAAAATGGCTTGTCAAGTTTCTTGAATATTTATGAATAACCAAGATCACTTTAAAGGGTAGAGTACTCTCCCCCATTTGAAGGAAAAATTCCTTCATTCAAGGACATCAATTTGTAAGATGTATCAACAAATGGCAGCCCGTAAAATACCTGGTCTATTGTGCAATGCTTAATTACTAATCTTCATTGTGCACTCATTATATGCAAAGTACTCTTTTGGATTCTAGGATATGGGGAAAAAGTTGGAAAGATGAATAAGTCCCTCCCTCAAGGAGTTTACATTTTAGTAATCTGGAGACGATAAAGCAAGCTATAATAACAAGGTCAACCTAACATAAGAACAGATTACTGCAAAGCAAATCCTGAACTTACATCCCATCTTTTCCTCTAAAAAAGAGTTTGTGGTCCTAAAAAAATTATGCTCTATATGATGCAACACCACAATTCACGGTCTGAACTACATTTGCAGTCGCCAGAAGATGTCCTCAACCATACGCTGCATACTGATCACACAGACTACCACCTGGTTTTAGCTGAAGACTTTCAAATGAGTTTTTTTCCTGTGTTTCTCTGTTTCTCACTGGCTTTTTGGGAAAAGACCAGTGAGGAAAGGGAATGGTAGGTTATTTTCTCTAAGTACACTTTCACTTTCATCATTATCATCATTATTATTTTCAAGCCTGGCTTTTAAAAGTCTGAGAGGCAGAGGAGAAAAAGTTGATGAGAGAAGAGGTTTTCAGGGAGGCTACCAGCAGGTGGCGCTTGTCTCCTCCTCCGAGGTTACAATGTTGGACTCATCCTAGAATCCTGCAGGACTCAAGGGCTACGTACTATGCACGCAGTCAATGCAAGTGACATAGATCACGCGGTACTTTAGATCCAGCCTGGTGCTCAGGCCACCACGTCTCTGCATCACTACTTAAAAAACCGCCTCTACTCCAAGGGTTGAATTATTTTCGTACTGACCCGCATCCTCACTTCCCCTAGCTAAGTTGCTCACAGGGACGCTGCTCAAGCCTTGGGTATAGAGCAAAAATAAAGGCCCTAGAGAGTTGGAGCCAAAACTTCGGAAAGCAGTGGGACTTTATTAATCTTCCAGCTGGTCTGCTCTTATGTTGTCAGATGTTCTGTCTCCCCTGGTGTGCCAGCGTTGGTCTGGGCAGAACATGAATTCCCTTGCAGGCGGACACATCAGCTCCCATGCCCCACAGGGGCTAGAAGAAGTGCACGAGGATACCTTGACGGTACCTGTGCGCAGGCTCCAACTGTGACTGAGTTATTGGCTAGTTGGGGTCACTGACTTTCTGACCTTTCCAGCCCCACCCAATTCTGGGCTCAGCCAGCCACAGCTAGCCCCTTTTCCTCATAGGACAATGGGTTCTGTCCACCATAAAAACGACCTGCATTTTGAAAAGTCTTTCCTTTCCGTGTCTGTAGTTTTCTGCTATCGCTCAGAAAAACCTCTGCCTTACTCCTATTTGTTTGCAGCGAGGTGCGGCCCGGGAGGGCGTTTACAGGAAGGAGGGCAACCCTAGAGTCTGAAGGCTCCGCCTCTGACTGCATGGGTGAACTCAGACAAGTTTCTTTTTTTTTTTTGCGGTACGTGGGCCTTTCACTGTTGTGGCCTCTCCCGTTGCGGAGCACAGGCTCCGGACGCGCAGGTTCACAGCGGCCATGGCTCACGGGCCCAGCGGCTCCGCGGCATATGGGATCTTCCCAGACCGGGGCACGAACCCGCGTCCCCTGCATCGGCAGGCGGACTCTCAACCACTGCGCCACCAGGGAAGCCCTCAGACGTGTTAACTTCCTCTGTGGCCTGGGGAAAACAATTTTTCCGCTCACGGGGTCCCTGGATTAATGAGGTCACGAATGCAGACCACCTGGACCAGCGAATGGCTCATCGTAGGTGCCCAAATGCCAGGGGTCGTCTGTTGGCCTGACCCCACAGTGAAAAACTGCCTCTCGGGGAACTCTGGGTCAAATAACCAGAATAATTTGCAAAATTGAGATAACCTCTCACCTTCCCGTGATCTCACGGCATCCAGCCCCCCACGTTCCCAGATAGCGGGGCCGAGCAGCAGGGCCACCGCAGCGGGCGGCGGAGGAAGGCGCGGGGCTAGACTGACGGCTCTCGGGTAGGAGGAGGAGAGAGCGGGCGGCGGAGGAGGGGAGAGCCGCCTAGAGGAGG